CGCAGCGCTTGTGCGTGAAGCACCGAGCGCGCGTTGCTTGTGGATGAGGCGGCTGAGGAGGCAGTCTTCGTGGCGGCGGCGGCGACAGCATGCATCGAAGCAGTCAACAGGGCTCGGATGCGTGTTTACAGGCGGCGACGGCGGCTTCACGCGCCACGGCACCATCATCGACGGCGTCGTCATGAGTCAACAGCGCTCAGCAAGCGCGCTGACACGCTGGCAGCTGCTCTTAGGAAGCGGGGTGCACAGCGCCGCAGTGCAGGCGCTGGCGGCACACACTCTTACGCTGTGGACACTGCTGCGGGCGCACTGGACCCTGCTGGAGGCGGCAGCGGCGGCGGCCGCAGCAGCGGCGGCGCGCGAGCATGCAGCGGCGCTGTGTGCGGCGTGCGGCGGCAGTGGATGAGGCCGTGGAGCGACGCGCCGCAGTGGAAGCGTACGATAGGCTTTGGCAGCGCTCAGGCGGCGGTACGCCGCAGAGGCAGCCAATGCGCAGCGGCAGCGCGGGGGATGGAGGCGGCGGCGGCGGCGGCGGCGGCGCGGTAGTGGCGTGAGATTGCAGCGCGGAGACACTGATAGAGGCAAGCTGCGCCACGCATGCCAGCGCCGCTTGACTGCTGCGCAGCGCGCTGCCAAACAAGCAGAGGAGGAGGCAGCGGCTGCCGCGCTGGCGGCAGAATTTGCGGCGGAGGAGGCCAAGGCACCGATTTTGCCGTTTACCAAAGTGAGGATTTTGCAGTTGGCGCAGTTGTTGCTGTACTGTGGATGCTCCGCGAATTTAGGACGTGCATTAGTGGCAACCCACTCTTGTTGTGTTGCATGTATATACTCGACGGATCCTGTTGTGATTTCTAAAAATAATGCATAACCATACTTGACGTATCTTGTTGTGCGTATTTCAAAACAATGCATAATGAAGTGTCCCGCAGAGAGCTCGCTGACTTACACAGCTTGCTGACTTGGCTGGCTGCTGCCAACTGCAAGCTGGCATCAATCACAATAGGCTGCTTGTAAACCCCTTGCTGTACTGCTCTCAGCAGCCTAAGTCATAGGTCTGCGCTCATGATGTTCCTGCGCTAACCCTAACCCTCAGTCGCGGCTCTGCGATGCACTGCTAAGCGCACGCAGGCGCACATGCCGACGACGCGCCGGATTGCGCTTACCGTGACCGCACGCTGCATTCGTACAAGGCGCAGGAGCGCTGTCACAGAGCGATAAAACTGGACACGCAGCGCTCAGCAGAGCTAGGGGTAGGTAGGTACTTAACTGACTCATGTCTGGATGAAGTGATTCAGCCATGCACGATGGCAACAGCAACGCGATGATGATTTGTGCACTAGTTGAGGAGTGTGTGCAGTTTGCCTGCTGCAAAGTAGTTGGTGATGCCTTGGTCCCGGTCGCATGCTGAGCTGCAGGATTTTGTGATCATGTCTAGGTTGTGGTCTGGGGGAGTTGTGCATGGTAAAGGAGTCATCGCCAGGGCCGACTCTGCTGACGGAACAGAATTTACTACAATGCGGATTTTGATGTTTGGTGCCGTTCCTGACACCCAGGAACGCGCGCCGTTCCTGACATGCAGGAACGCGCAGTGCGCTTTTTTGGCAAATTTCAGTTTGCCTTATGATGTCAAAGACTAAGATTATGTCAACAAATAGCAGAGTGCATGAATGTAGCCGATCTTGCGGGGGGAAATGTGTAGATAGAGACCTGCACCACTCATGCGTCATTCACAACATGAAATATATGCTGTGCAGCCGGACGTCGAGGGCGGTGGTCTTACTATAGTATATGTATGTGCCATTATGCCATATGACCCGACGCATTTAATGACACATCACATCATTGAGTACAGTCAACCTCATGTACTTCAAAGTATCAAGTTCACACTTGAACTTGAAACCTCTCGGCATAAATATGGATCCAGCATGTAATTAGGCCAAGCATATGACTTGGCACGCGCAAGCTTACATGCACACCATTGAGTCAAATTAAAATGTGGCCGTCACAACCTGGGATGGCTTACGCAGAATTTATTGTCCATGTGCGACCCCCGTGCATCTCAGCGTAGCGCTGGTGTCTCACGTTACCTCGCTGTCTTCCTTGTTTTGCGCATCTGGCAGCTGACTCAGAGGGTGAGCCTGTCATCACGGTCAAAGCCGAAGTGCAAAGAAGCGCTCCTTCAGGGCGACCGCGCCGCCAAGTGCGCTCGTTGGAGCTTGATGGCAGGTACGCCTGTAATCACGTGCTGGCAGTTACGCTGATTGCCAGTACGCAGACTACTCCCAACACACTTCTAGTACCTATCGACCAGCGTCAGTCCTCTGTTGCTACTAGATCAGTCGCCTTTATGTCTGCTTCTGACGAGATGCAGCAAAATGCTGGCGGGCAGCAGGTCGCCACATGGTCACAGCTCTCACACTTGACCGCTGCATCGTGGTGGCGCTTTTACCGTTTCATGATGGCCAGCACAAGAATGCCAGCACAGAAATTACAATGCCGGTCCTGCCCGCGCATTGTTCTTCACTTCACCAACCTACAAGTTGTTAAAGGTGCTGCCTGTGCAACTGGACTAGTGCCACCAAAGACTGTGACTGAGTGTGCTGCAACGCTTTTGGGTTTGCAAGTGTCATTTGAGGCGCACGGCTATAGACTATACCTGCAGCTGATGCTGGCGAGTATACTATGGGAGCGCTGATGCGCCACACGCTGGAAAACTGTTGAAGCTTATGAATGATTATACGTGCTTTTTGACACTTAATTATGAATAAACACATGTTTTCATGAACTTTTGGAAGCAAGTAAAACAATTCAAAAAACTTGAATTAGAGCCATTCTGTACGGCTGTTTGCGGCCATGAATTTCTGGCGTGATTCACGAGCCAGCATTCCATACGACAGAAGCGACCTGATTCATTGGACGTGAACTGCGTCAGAGGTCGCTGACGAAGCAGCTCATGCCACGGCGCCGGAGCGATGCTGCTGGCACTAGCATTCCTAAAGGCCACGGCACGCGCAACGACAGCACGGCATGCCTCGCCACCAAGTGCCTCGCATACGCACTTGTTTGGCCGCGCCATCTGATTGGCTGAGATGTTTCCGTACTTCTTTTTAAATCACGCCATGTTCCCTTCATCGAGCCTGAAAGGTTGTCGTGAAAGTCATGACCTGATCAGCGGCCCTTCATAATCGACGCCACTTTTTGTCATGATATTTCACGGCAAACTGGGACGTACAGAATGGCTCTTATTATAGTAAATACATGTTTTCATGAAATTGAAGAATCAAAAAAATCTGAAATTCTTTAAATAATGACAAGTTGCACCGGATTCATGCATATCGACGAGACTGATGTGTTTGCGCCTTTGAGGTTGGGGCTCGCATGATCGGTGGCTGTTTGGCCCGGACACACGTTGCGACTGTCACATGCAATTTGAGGCGTTCAACATTTGTCCTTACAGAGGGTGGTGTGGGGTCACGTGTGGCTGAGAGGCATCCCTGAAGTCAATATGAAAACGAATTAAAAGATCGTAGAGCTCTAGGTGACAAGGGATGGTTAGCCTCAATATATTGGAATCCACTGGCAGGCACATCCCCAGCAGCATTGAGCATGCAGACGGTAGCGCCTCCAATTTTTTTTTAATGCAGCGAGGCAGCAGCAGCACAAGCAGCCCCATTTGGTGACAGCGCTGCTGATGGCATAGGGGAGAAAGTGAAGGAGGGGTACACTTGAGGAGGCGACCGGCTACCTCGTTGCAGAAATTCTGGCCCATGCGCTACGTTTTGGCAACTTTGAAACTGCTGGGGGCCCCTGTCTTCAAACCTACATTGTGGTGCTGCCACATTGTGCACACTTCCATCGAGCGCTGTTGCAGCATGCGCGGCGCATCGACAACAACTGCCAGGCGCAGACGCTCAGCTGAGCGCTGCTGTGGCTGAGCTGTGCTTCACTGAGCATGGCGTGAGCACCACGCGCAGGGGCTGTACAAAGTTGGGCAACCGCACACAGCAGCAGAATCTGAGGCGGCAGCAGCGGTGGCGCCATCACGCAATGGGCCACAGTGGTGCAGCCCGCACTACTTAGTGGCAACACTGCTGCCCTCATTAATGGCCGCTTTCCTCCAGGAGAACGTCCACCACCGCCAGAAGGGGCTCAACCCCGACATTCAGCCCAACGAGCTCGTGCACATCGACGTGCCTGGCAACATGGACACGAGCTTCGACATGCCGCCCCTGTACAAGGCAGCAATCAACCCGTCTGCTGAGTCATCTCAAGTGCGCTACACCAGCAAGACGGTGTGCATGTACACTCGACGGTCAACTTCAAGTTGGCCTCCACGGTGTCGGGCGCGGTACTCCTGGCAAAAGAGCACCAGCACCAGCACTGGCTGACCGTCGAGGACCTGGTACGCGCACACCGTCTTGCTCGTGTAGCGCACTTGAAACGACTCAGCCAACGGGTAAAATGCTGCCTTGTACAGGCGCGGCATGTCGAAGCTTGTATCCATATTGCTAGGCACGTTGATGTGCACAAGCTCGTCGGGCTGGATGTCGGGGTTGAGCTCCTGCTGGCGGTGGTTGACCTTCTCCTGTATGAAGGCGGCCATAAATGAGGGTGGCAGTGTTGCCACTGACCCAGAGTAGTGCGGGCTGCACAAGAGCGGCATAGTACGGTGATGTGTGGCATCCACGCAATCACTGCGGCTTGATGATCACCTCTGAACGGTATTCCCCGGTGACCATGCCATGCAGTGCACGCAGCACGCGCTGGCCGTCGCATGCAGCGAAGTTCCAAGTGCACTGCAGTTGCACTACATCAAATTTTGAGAGAATGCAAGCACCCAATGCGTGTATCTGTTGTGAGGGTGACGGAACATACCTACCATTTACTTCCCAGGCATGAACACAGACATTGTACTAGCTTCTGCCGATGGCATGCTCCCAGTTTTTAAAGATGACAGCCCTCCCTCTCTTGCACCTACGTTTCCATCACTCCACACACAACACACCGTGGCGCAATGGAAGCGCACCAGGGTGGTACCCTGGGGGTACAGGTTCAATTCCTGTCGGTGTGTAAAACCCTGTTGTGCTTGCAGTCTTGCGCAGAGCTTGCCATACCTGACGTGTACGTTTGCAGATATGCAGTAGGAAGCATTTGAGCTGTTTCGTTGTGTCAGCAGCTACAATGCATTCCGCTTGAAAGGCATTGATTCCAGTGTCGAAAGCAGAAGCACTTGCATAGCCAGATGTTGTATCAATCCTTTCAAATCGTGAAGAGCAGCAATGCTCACCCAGACGAGTCACAGCAGAGGCGCAGTGTGAAAGCACTTGACAAGTATGCTATATGGTGAAAGTGCTCCAAGAAGTCTACAAGTCGATGCATCAGCACTGTGCATGTGAGGGCATCAACATTGATGCACAACAGATGCTGGCTGATGCAAGTAGATGCGACAAGCATACGCTGCGGTGCTCCTTGGCACTGGTCAGCATTCATCTGCAGGTACCCACTGTGGTTGCTTTTGCATCTATACTGTTTCTGCAGAGCGTGCGTGTCTGCCTCAGATAGGAATGCAGCACATCACCTTTCACAACACATGTGGTCGCCTAGGAGCGCTGACGGCGGTTGTGTGGCTTGTGTCATTAACCCATAGCCGTATCATTTGTGCTGATCCTGTTTACTGTCCTAACATGTGTGAGCGCAGCCGAATGTGCAGTCAGCTCACAGCGCTGGCCGAGCACTGCCTATGGTGCTCCCGGGCTGGCCGCATGCTCATCATGGCACACTGATGATGACGTTGACACGCCATCCCTGTGTGAACATAAGCACTGCCCCATGGCGTAAGGTGCAGCACTTTGCGTGATCAAGAGTTTGCCGCTCCGGGCGCACAGCTGAATGCCAGAGTTGAAAAGCTGCGAGCACACTCAATTGTCATTTTCATTCTGTACAATCATCGATTTGACTGGTGCACTTTCTGCACGCTGGGGTCAAGGCAGCGCTGCATGTGTCACGATCTCGGATCTCTGCAGCAACGTTCACCTGCGTCGCATTCAATGCCACCACGAGAGCAGCAGTACCTACGACATCAATTGCACGCCTAGGCCCATCAGGGTCCCATGTGCAGCATTTGAAGTTTCTGGCTCACACTGTCAAAATGTGTTCGACAGTGCTGGATGAACCAATGGGTTTGAAGCAGACAATGCCCAAACCTCCCTTGCCAAATGACAAGCGCAAACGCAGCTGCCCCCGCAGGTGCGGGGCTGGCATTGGGACTTGCCAGCTCAATCGTACCTGTAAAGTCCCCCGGAATTGTCGTATAAGAAGTTCGAACCAGAGCATGCCCTGCTTATTTGTAATGGTTGCTTTCTGTGTGCACATGGTGGCACACGCAGACTTTTAGCCTGCTATGTTGCTCTGTTCACATTCATTGTGCATTGCTATACCACAAGCTGCATCAAATATGCATGTCACTTTGTTCTGTTCTTCAAGCGAAAGCAAACTGCAAACTTGAAGGGAGGACACGCCACCTCGCCGACGCGCTGAACCAGGATGCTAACAAAACAGGATGGCCTACAGGTTTCTACGTCATGCTCGTCGAAGATTACGGTGACAAAGTCATACGCAGGGGGGTGGCGAGCCGGTACACTGCATGGTGGCCATAACTAAGGCACGGGTGGGCTTGCTGGTGCTTGTGGCCTTGGCGGCGATCGTGGTGCTAAAGAATCCAGCAATCACGTGGTGGAAAAACACTCGAACGAGCATCAAAAATTCCTATAATGCTGCAGCCATTCCGGGCACCAGAGAGGTATACAACTTGCCCTATCCTCAGCACACATACGCCGTCGAGCACGATGTACATGTTGTCATTACGGCGTCTGACAGCAGCGAGGACTTGCAAGCCAGCATCGACTCTCTGCTGCGTCAGGACTATGCGAAGCTCTATATATGGGTGGTTGACAGAGGTGTGGAGGGGGACATTGCCGAATTCCTGGAGGTTAGGTGAGATTCGTCACAACTGCCATCGCCAGGTTGGCAGATCAGTAAGCTAGTTTCTGGTTGAGTATGCAACAGTTCAGATCAATGGGTCTTACTGGGCTCATGGTAGCAACAGTGCTGCATGTGCTGCCACTTCCGTTGTCGTGTGGTACGGCACCACTGTCATGTGGGCAACAACTGAACCGTGACGCAAAGCGCGCAGTGCGTGCTGGGTGCTGGCGTCTCACATTGACAACAAAGTACATGCTGGCTATAGGTACCGTCTTTAGTTTTGTCATATACTTCTATATAAATGCAGCAAATGCGCTGCATGCGTTGCCATGTGCATTATTCTGCAGCAGTATCGTCACCTCCTGCGTGGGCCACTTACTTCCCCGTTGTGGGTGTCGTTAGTGCCTGACTAGCACTCAGAAAGCTGTATGTGCTGCATGCTGGCACTCTCGGTGCTGCTTCCGGCGAATTGACAGGCGGGTGCAGCTGCAGAGGTTGATGCTGAAGCAAGCACCATTTTTCAAAAATGGTGCAAGCAGCACACCTGCAAGTCATTGGATCATGAAGCAGTGACAGTCTTCTCCACAGCGTGTATGTGTGCCACACGTCCCGTGATTACACGCACAACAAGTAGCATTGGCGAGGGTGCCGAGAACGAGGTGCACTGGTGGTGTTTGTGATCTGCTTGGCGCTTCATTGCTGGTGACCTGTCAGCAGATTCTGAACGGTATCTGTATTTTGCCTGCTGGAGTGAAAGTTGGCGTGTTTCACCAGCTCTGTAGCCATTCACTATGCCAGAGAACTGGCTACTACCATTATCAGATGCTAGAGCTGCTTGCCAGGGGACGATCTTCACTTGGTTGAGCAACGCCACGCATTTACACCTTCCTAGCTGTTCAACGAACACTGCGGATTTCGCACAACCTTCAGCTTGCAAAACCTCACTTTGATATTACATGCAGGCCTTGAGGGCCACAACACCGTGGCCCTGGGACCGCACGACGCCACTTCACAGCTGCGCCGCCGCCCCCCCCGTCGCCGCAGATACAGCGCAGAGCCCCACATCAAACTCCTATGCAGCGCCGCCGCCGCCGCCGCCGCACCCGCAGCAGCAGCGCTCAAGAACGACGCCAACGCCAATGGCAACGACGACAACGGCAACGGCGACGGCCTCCTGTGGGCGCTGCGCCGCGTGCGGAGCGCTGCCACCCCCAACGACCTGGTCGTCCTCATGACCGCGCGCCACCGCCTCGCCGCCGACGGCGCGCTCGCGCAGCTCAACGCGCGCTTCGTTGACACCAAGTGCTGGGCGGCGCACGGCGCGTACGTCGCAGCGTGGCGCGGCGAGACGCGCGTCGTGCGCAGCGGCAGCGGCGGCGGCGGCGGCGGCAGCGGCGGCGGCAGCGGCGGCGGCAGCGGCGGCGGCGGCGGCGGAGGCGGTGGGTTTGGCGGCGGCGGCGGCGGCGGCGGCGGCGGCGGCGGCAGCGGCGGCGGTGGCAGAGGCGGCGGCGGCGCGCGCGCGCTTGCCGCGGCGTCGGCCGACGCCATCTGGACGTTCAAGGCGTTCCTGGTGGACTACCTGGGGGAGGAGGGGGGCTGGGGCGACGGCAGCAGGGCGCTGAGCGCTGCTGCTGCTGACGGCGCTGCTGCTGCTGCCGTTGCTGGTGGTGGTGGTGGTCCTGCTGCCGGTGCTGGTGGTGTTAATGCGGGTGATGGGGGGGTGGGGGAGGGGGAGGGGGGGGACGGGGGCGGGGACTGGGAGGAAGGGGGGCAGGCGGCCAGGGACAGGGCGCTGCGGATGCGGCTGGTGCTGCAGGTGCTGGACCTGGCGGGAATGGCGCGTGTGCAGTTCATTGCGACGCCGCTCTACTCGCATCGCTCAACATCACAGGTGATGCTCAGCTTTTGTGAACTTCAAGTGCTTTCAATGAGGCGCAGAGGTACTGAAGTGCGGTGTCGTGCTTTGCCTAGCGGTTGAGGTGCGTCCATTGCCCAGGTATGTACGCGGTGTGAGGCGCGTGCGCAGTCCATTGCAGAGCACTGCTGCAACGCAGTGCTGAGCAACGCCATGTCGGGCAATGTTTACTTTGAAAGTACACTGAACAGTGTGTAGCCACGCCACCTGAAGCCTCTGTGTGCACTAGGTACATGCGCACAAACAATGGAGTGCACCACAAGTGCTTGGTGCCCTTTCCGCTTCAACTCATGTCCATTCTGGTGGTGACACCATGAGGATATCCCTAACCCAACTTTATACAAGGAGCAACCCCTATCCTGACTTTATGCCTGGCCGTACTTGAAGTTGCCCAGTTTCCTTGTAGCTTCAACTCGCCGCATTGCTCTTGAAGTGCATGCTCATAAACTACGGAGTGCGCAACAAGTGCTGGTGCCCCTTCCCCTCCCCAAACTTCAACTAATGTCCGTTCGGGTGGTAACACCACGAGGGTCAACTTCAAGATTTCCACCATCCTTGTGGCTTCAGCTCGCCGCACTGCTCTTGGGCTTGATCGCATTGCTTGCCTTCTGTCGTTGTAGTTTTGCGTAAATGTTGCTGGGTGAATGCCCCTGTCAAGGCTCTGTGTCTATCAGGTTTTTCCCTGACCATTTCACAGTAGCAGTTGCAGGATCATACGCTAGCGCTACTTGAAGCGCAGTGAAAGGCACACGAATGCGCTTTTGCGCTTTTCTTTGTTTGGCTCGGGCTGTCATGACCAGATTGAATTGGCTGTACAGCGGACGATTTGCCCGATACCCGTTGTGATTCAACAAGCATATGCATACTTTTGAAGTACTCTTTGATTCGCTTTGAGCCATATTTGAAAGCAGCCTCTTTGCCGTGCATGTTTCTCAACAGTCTCTTCATCATGGCCATGGGTTGAAAACACAAGCCCATGCGCTGAAGTTGCAGTTTGCATTTCTGAATGTTGCTTGCCTGCAGCTTGAGGTTTTCGTTCACCTTTTGACGTCCTGCAGGCTAGTGAACTATCACCTTTGCACTTCATTGATTTGCATTGCTTTTTTTTTTCCGTACAAAGTGCACGCCTGTCGATTGCAGTTGAAACCTTCGTCCAACTTCAACCTCAACTGTCC